CCCCCTATATTGAGCTCTTTATTTACATTCACACTAAGTTTTGGTGCCTTCGAGCACTCTGGTGGCAGGCACCCTTCTGGAACACTAGGCAATAATTTAGTCGATGCAATCAGATCTCTGATCTTCAGCGGGTACTCAATTGAAGACTCGTGTCCTCTTACTGCATAGGTATTTTGCAGTGTCTATATGACAAAGCTGTTTCCATGACCAGGCTTAGAAGGGCAGTACTATATGGTACCTTAGTTGTTCTCCCTACTCTTTTTGGAACTTCTCAGAGCTAACTGTGCCCCCAAATGCATGGATACTTGGCCAGGGAATGCAAGGAGTCAAGTACAGCTATTTCCACTGTAGGATAATAATTAGCTCTTCTCTCCCAGTTTGCAGGAAGGGTGTAAGGATAGCTCATTCTGTCTATGCCTGGGAGAATTGTACCTATTTTCAGTCTTTTAGAGAAAATTTCAGCTCATATTTTACTAATGTGAAAGATTTAGTGATGTCACTTAAATATCAGCAGTGAGACCAAATGGTGAAATGTCGCTTCATACTTTAGTGCTCTCCAGTTCACTGTTACCTTAGTTATGGTGGATGACAATTTTCTTCCATCTTTCCCAGCAAAGAGGCAAATTAAGAGCCATCTGCAGAGTTGATCATAGAGGACTGAAAAATCCGGTGAGAGAACCTGATTCTATAACCTATGACTGGAATAAAGTTGCTGAGGATATTTAATTTGGAGCCTTTTCAAGGTTGGTTCCCTGAGAGGGGGGTAACCACATGATCACTGTACCCCTGAGAATCTATGAGATGGAAAAGTAGAGGAAGAAGGCACTTAATGCAGTTTGCAGTTGGGAAATAAACCTCCACACCTGTTTGGATGTGAAGCACCGTTATTAATTTCAATGGCAAAATGAAACTGCTAATTAGTTTAAATGTGATGTTTAAAAAGGTATTAAACTTCCTATAGCCTATTTAGATATAATTTATAATTGTAACATGTCATGTTTCTGAGAGCTTTAACTACTTCCCTTTTTAATGCAACTATTTTAAACATTGTGGCTACATTTAATTTAGGTTTGCGGATAATTGAACCTAAATTCAAGAGGATACAGCAGCATTAATTCCAAAGGAGTATTTTTATATTCAGAGGTGGAGGAGGTATGTGAGGGCATTATAATGCTCTGTCATTAAAAGTTTTTGTTAATTTGTGTGCCACACTGACTAACAACACCTCTCAAAGTTTGTCACCTGGAAAAAAAAAGTGTTCAAATATATTTTTCTTAAGTAAATTTGGCTTTATCATCAATAATCTATGGTTGGTAAAAAGTCTTTTTTGTTTGTTGAGGGTTTGAACTTTCTTAAGAGTTTATTTTAAAGGAACATGTACTTTGAATAACAATTTTCTGGGCATGTTTAACTAACCTAGGTAAGAAAACCATGGTGCTGTTTAATTGTAAATAGACTGATATAAGATTGGACCAATACTTGATGTGTACAATTTTAGTATGTAGGGTTTTTGTGCTTTTTAAAAAAAAATGTTCAATTTTTCTCTTTGTCTTTGCCTTTATTCTGGGTTTTTATTTGTTACTACTCTCTATAATAAGGGAAATCTGCCTCATTCTAATAAAACCTCTTAAAAGGTTTTCCTCCTTTATAAAACCTCAGCTCAATAAAAAAACACATTCATTATTACCAGACTTAGGCTCTGCTATGCCAAACCATACATGATCATTTATAGATATGCTTTATCTTCTGCATTGAAATCTTGGTCTAAAATAGGTTGTCGTTCCTTTCTTTTAAGTATCGTGCTGTAAACCAAAACTCATAATTCAGTTTTTCAGAAGCACTGAGCTCATTTCTTATCCATTTTGGATCAAAGTTTGGTTAAATTTTTATTTAAAATAGGTGATACATACGCATGGAGAAAAAAAAATCTGAACATAAGAAACTGAAAAGCCTCTCTTTCACTCCTGTTCCTCATCTCCTGTTTCTTCTCTCTGGAGTTAATAGCTGGTACTAGTTTTCTGGGTATCTTTAAAGATACTCTAGCACAGTGGTTCTCAAACTCGAGCATGCATCAGAATAACCTGGAAGGCTTATTAAAACACAGATTGCTGGACTCTTTCCCCCAGAAGTTCCAAGTCAGTAGGTCTGAGTGAGGTCCAATAATTTGCCTTTCTGAAAGTTTCTGGATGCTGCTCTTGCTGGTCTGGGGAATCCCAATATGAGAACCACTGTTGTGGTGTACAAGTATATTCACCCATACTGCCCTGTGTTTTCCATAAATACATATACCACTCTACACCTTAGATTTTTCTCTCTAATGGTGACTCTTAGGTGGTTCTGTATACGTAGAGCTAGCTCTGCTTCCTTCGTCTTACAGCTGCAGCAGTGTTCCACTGTCTGGCATACCATAGTTACGTCAGACTCTTAATTCTGCTCAGTTTGGCAGTTTCCAGTCTTACTACAGTAAACCATGCTGCCATGAGAGGCCCTTTTCTAGAGCTATGCCTTTGTGTCTGTACATCTATAGAACGCACTTGCGAACAGGGAGAATTGCGAGATCAAAGAGCTTATACCTTTAGAGGGTATGTGCTGAATTGTCCTCCAAATAGATTTTACCAATTTAATAATATAGCAGTACAACTGCTCTGATTTCCCTATACCCTGACCAACCTTTTGATCTTTGACAATCTAAGTGAAAATCTGTGTCCTGTGATTTTCACTTTGTGTTTTTTCTTTGAGTGAAATTTATCATTTTACTGTATATTTTAAGGCCATTGGTATTTTTTTATGTGAATTCTGTTTATGTTTGCCCATTTCTTAGTGCATGGTCTTTATTCTCTCAATTTGTAAATATTCTTAATATAGTAAGGAAATTACTTATTTTTCTATCATGTATTATCGTTTGTTTTGATTAATTTACCATGTGCAAATTTTAAGTTTTGCATGGTCAGATCTATCAGTCTTGTATTTTATGACTTCTGGATTTTCTTAACTTCAAAAGGTCTTACCTACTCAGATTATAAAAAAAATTTTCTGATATATTTTTTTAACGGTTTCATTATATGGAGTTTATTTTGGTACAAGGAACAGAGTAGCAGCCCAGATACACTTTTTTCTAGCTACTGAATAATTTTAATCTGTTTCCCGTTGATGTGGGGGGAAAAAATCAGTCTTTATGACAGTTTTTAAGATTATACTTTTTTAATGATCTTTTCTTGTTAAGTGGACAAATTAGCAAATATACCTTGTGTCTAATTCGCCAATGCTATGATTTAGTGTTTTTACTTATGGAAAAGAGAAAATTGGAGGACTGCGGCTGATAACCTCCTTTGCCGTAGCCAGTCTCCTGTGATTTCTGTTCTTTGGCCCTGTAGGGACCGCTCTTGCTGGGAACTGCCCATGTCAGCAGGTGTCGGCCAAGTTGACACCTGCTGAGATGGGCAGTTTGGCCTTTTCTAGTCTTGTTTTTGACATGAGGCATGTGACGATAACACATGAGAGCTAAGGACCCAGAGAAGAGAAGTGAGTTGACGTTGCTTAGCGTCCTCTAAAGTTCTTCCCTCTTTGCAACTGATGTAGACTGTGGAGGACCCAGTCCCTGGCCTTGTTGTCTTCCCATCAGTCAAGCCTGCTGTGCCCCTCCCCCCGGGAAGTACTGCGTCCTCCACCCCCGCCCTGAACAGACACAAACACGCTGTGTTGCAACTGTGACACAGTAATAATGCAATGTTACCACCTAGATGTACTTGGTCTGATAAGCTGTACCTTAAAAGCACAGTGGATTGCCTCAATGTGGAAACAATGAAACTTAACTGAAGTGTCTCTACAAACTTAAAAAAAGTTTAGGTCACATAATATAATTGAGAAAAAAAATCCTAATGTGAACATTGACAGACTGTTTTGCTCTACTCTTACTCCCAAAAGAGTGTCACTTTACTGGTGCAATTGAATTTTAGTTTGTACACTGAAGTTTCAGTTGGGGCCCATCAGAGGTAAATGCTGTTTCCTGATTTCATTCTAGAACCACCCAGTTTACGAAAAGGCTGTTAATAGGAATCAAGCAGTTGGCTCGTGATGACCTTTTCTAGTCACCCTGATGCTTTGCAGGGAGGAGGGAAAGCTATACTACCTGCTCATGTCTGAAACCTCAGTTAGCAAGTTTAATATTCACTTATTTAAAATTAATTTGAAATAATTGAATAATTTAAACATTGAAATTTTAGTTTAAGATTTATTTAGTCAGAATTAAAATCTACTATACCTGTTATCTGTGGCTGTCCCTCCTCTCTCACAGCCCCCGTTCTGAAACAACAAAAGATACGGTATCTTCGTTGCCTTAGAGACTGTGTCTGACAAAAACATATGCCATGCTTACCCTTGCTATATCCTCAGGACTGTTCCCACTGCAAAATGGGGAAGAAGCCTTCCTAAGACCTCACTGTAGTTTCTCCTGCCGGAACGATGCCTAGATCCTAAGGCTGGCTGGAAGCTAAAGCCTCGCAGGCTGCCACGAAAGCGGCAGAAGCTGTGCCAAGGTAAGCTCAGTGGTGAGGCCCTTTGAAACGATGGCTCACCTCTAGCTGTCATTTTCCAGCCAGATCCTCCTCGTCTGTCAGTACCAAACTCTGTGGTGGTGTCATAGTGTCCAAACTCGTTTGCCAGAAGGTGTTCTCCTGAGAGAATCACTGCAAACTTTTCACCAAATCAGAGGAAGAGAAGAGCACTGTTCTAAAACAGTGAGGTGCTTTGCATCTCTCTGCTCTTCACAACACTTGCTGGAGATGTCTACCATTATCCCCATGTGGAAAGCACAAATCAGAAATCAGGAGTTTTTGTTTTGTTTTGTTTTTTTTGCTAGCTTTATTCAGTTTTTGTAGTACCAACATGGGGAAGAGGCAGAAGTTTGGGCTGCTAAACCTTATGGTCATAAGTGTGTTATGATAATCCCATGTCTGTTAGAGCAAACACAGAGAGCGTTCATAGTAATTAACATTTGTCCTACAGGTTCCACTTATGAATGAGCCTTAGATAAGCAGCACTCCTGTCTGCACCTTGGCAGAATGATTCTCAATGATTATTAGGTTCTCTGGAACTCACTGAATGCCTTACAGTCAGTTATATCGCATAATGTAGCCTTAAGAAATCCTTCGTTTATTTATAGTCAGTGAGCTGTATTTCTTGAATCACCAAACTTGTTCCTCAGAAACTCATGGTAGAAGGAGATGTGGTCATTAGCATAACGCAGAAGAGATTTCTGAGCCACTGAAATGTTAGCTTAAAACTTAAACAGAATCCGCTGAAACTGAAGTGAGTTACTCGGATCACTTGCTCTAAGCACAGGCATCTAATTGACCTTGAATTTGAATCCCGGTTCCACCACTAGAGAGCCGTTATGTTCTTAGATAAGATTCTTAATCTCTATAGGCCTCAATTTCCTCATCTGTAAATTGAAGACAGCACCTAATTCATAGGGTTATAAGGATAAATGAAGTCACGCATCTAAAGCACCTGTCCGACCCATAGCAAGTATTTATTGAACGGTAGTTACTGTCATTAACAGTACAGTGAGTAGGGAGGAATCACAAGTCCTGTGTCAAAAACATTTAAAAAGTTATTCAAGGCATTAGTTATACCAAAAATTAAACTCATAAAAGGGCAGAGAAAGTGGTTATTCACATTATATTATTGCAAGTCGTATGTGAGGTTATTAAAGTTAGGAAACTGCTGTTTAAGGAATGCTCATTTTAATCCATCGTATATCAAAATCAATGTAAAGATACCCACTTTGGTGTTCTAAATTTATTTTTCAACATGTTAACAATTATAATTATTTATATATTTTTTGAGATTCATTTATTCCGGAAAGATTTTTTTTTTACTCACATTAACTTCACGTAATGTTTTCTTTTTGAGCAGAGACTTCTTTTTCTCCTCTGCTTTCTGCCTCTCCTGGCATTTGTCCATGGTGAAGATAGTAAACAGCTTAAATTCCTTGTAAGTTAGACGCTTTTGTTGGGGGAAAAAAAAGAGAAATTATTGCAGGAAGGATTTGATACTTTGTGTCAGATGAGAGCAGGATTGTAATCATTTCTCATTTAAAAACTTGGAAACTTAAAGAGGCTCAGTAATTAGGACAAAATTGCCGCCTGATTGTAGTCTAGAAGCCAGAACAGAGAATCTATTATAGACTCTAAAGGAACCAAGTGTCACTTTCTTTTACAACATCAAGTCTAGATGCTTCGGCCTGGCATCTGAGGGTCTTCACAGTGTGACCCAACTTTTCCAACCTTAGTTCCCACTTGCTCCCCCAACATGCATGGACTTCCTCTTTAAATAGGCAGAATTCACTGTCTTGACCATCGTTGTCTCTTAGGATTTTGCTCATGTGTTCCCATCATAGAATTTCCTCCTTTCTACTTATTCTGTTGGGTTGTTGGAAAAATACATGACGTATTTTTTCTATGTTTTTTGTTGCAAAAATGCGTCATGACTTTTCTGACAGCCCAATATATGCTCTTCCCCAATACCAACTCCTGCCATATTAATATATTTCTTTCTCTAAACTTCTAAGCAAAATTTCCTCCTCTAAGCGTCTGTAATTTTGTATCCACACTGTGTGATGTAGCTGTTAACTTATTCAGTCCTCTCTTCCACAGGCCTGTAAATCCAGTTTTTTCTGATCCCAGCACATGACACACCCGACCAGGTTTTCCCACCCTCCTTTACCCTCATCTCTGCTTTAGGTGGTAGGACATTGTCCGCCGCCTTTGGACGGAGAGGCTGCCAGGCCGGACTTGAGGGGGCTGCACTTACACGGTCACCTGTGATGTCAGAGGCATGGTAGAGCTCTCTGAGTTTTTTTTTCTTAATATTGAAAAGAAACTTGTACATGTGGAAGCTCTCTACACCAATTTTCAGCTCCCCATCCAAGTCGAGCAGCTCAAAAACAGGCCGGGAATGGCGGAAGATAAATTGCTCTTCCAGGTGGTTCTATTTTGAGAGAAAGAGGCAAGACAAAAGACAGTGTTGTTGCTACTATTATACTTTCTAAACTCGCTGAAAGACTCCTGTATCCCCTAGTCCGTTCCCTAGGAAGCTAAAAGCAAAAGGCAAAATCATCGACGCTCAGTGTCGAAAGGGTTCTGTGGGCAGTGCATCAGGCCTGCTCTGGCATCTGTCTTCAAGGGGGACTCATCTCCATCATTCATCCCCTCCAGAAAGTTCTTTGAGAAATGGGACCACTGAGGGAACTTGGCGCTTGGGATGACTGGGGGGTCTCCAAGTATCACCAGCTGGGACGGGCAAGGAAGGGCGTGCCAAGGAGGCACGTGCTGGGGGGACCTGTCCTTTAGCAAGAGGTGACGTGGGAGGGCTGAAGGCGGGCACAGGCAGGGGCCGAGGCTGGGGGACTCTTGGGAAGTCTAGGTTATACATGGACCGTGTAGGAACCTAAAGTAGTCCTTTCCTGCATTCCTTTCGTCCCGGTTTGAGTGAAAGGAAGAAAATTTCTGGTACTCTTAATTCAATGCGACCGTTAGCAAGATGGCAGCAGCTGCCAAGCTCGGCCTCCTCAGCCCAGGTCCTGAGCTCATACTCGCCTGGTGTGCCAGCAGTATGCAGACCAGCATGTAGAACTGGTCAAAGCCAATCTCGCCCAGAGCGTTCCAGTCCAGCATGTTAAACACAGTCATGATCTGTCTCCGGCTCAGGTTGGTCACATGATGAAGGAAGTGATAAAACAGCACATCTGGGAAGGTGGGAGGCAAGGAGATGGGTTATTCTGAAACTGCTCCAAAATGCGAAACACCTGGGAGCCACCTAAATGGCAGTGATGTTGGAAGCCTGTGACCTGGGAACAGCAGTAACATTTTTCTGGCCTCGCCACGGTGCCTTCCACGATTCCTCACACCTTCATTGTCCTTGAGCTGCATGGAAAAGCACTGCACCCGGAGTTGTGGAGAGTGAGGGTGGAGAGGGCTTGGTTCCTGACTCCAGCTCCCAGGCTCCATGGTGCGGACAGGTGTGTACAGGTAACCAATAAAGGGCGCAGAGTGCTTCTCGTACATGGAAGGAAGACGCTTAATTATACTGGGGACCTAGGGCACTTGGAGAAGCTGACATTTCACCAGGGCTTTTCACTTGAAGAGATAATGAAAAATTTAAAAGTGACTCCTCTTCTGTAAAGGTATCCATATTCCTCAGGCTTATATTAAAAGGAATGCATTTGGCCGGGAGGGACAGGAACAACTGTTAATGCACACCTCAGGTGCTGGGCCATCTCAATGCCGCATCTCCTGGAACCCTGACAACCCTACAGGGAAAGTGGCATCACACCATTTTAAACAGCCTCCGACAATAAATAGCCTATTTCAGTGCTGCCCCAACTGTAATCGGCACACCAGTCACGAGAGGATCTTGTAAGAATACAGATTCTGATTCAGGAAGCCTGGTGTGGGGCCAAGTCTGCATCGTTCACAAGCTCCTACGTGATGCGGCGGCTGCTGACCACACTGGGATCTAAATGGTCCTCCTGACTCCACAGCCTTGCTCTCTCCACGGGGTAGCCAAACCCTCTGCGCGTTCATGTATTCAATCACATACAGTCAGGGAAAAAAAGACTGTGGTTGAAAGTACAGGGAAGGTTTTTGCCTGAAATGCCACTCACGAATCACCTGTCTTGGAGTATAAGGTGGAAGACAGGAACTTGGTGACACATCTCTACGGTGGCCCACGGCACTGAAGGGATTTCCAAGTGTGGCTTTGTCTACTTGGGATTTCCCTTTGCGCACTGGCTACAGAAACTATCTCCTGCATACGATAGGGCTCCACTGAATTCATAAAACATCGATGGAGTTTGCAGTCCCACTGCCAGCTAGCTAAGAGCACAGGGAGCCATTCGTCACCATGTCATGCTTCTGGTAACACTGATGTACCTACCCCTTGCCCCACCAGGTATGAGCATGTGGGAACACACACACACACAAATGTTCACATGGTCCTTGAGGAATGTTTTGGTGGTGCACTTAGGAGCTACTTAACAATCACTGTTTTTGGCCCACCAGGCTCTGGCCTACACAAGTCTCCTGAGGCCTTAAGTCACGCTGCCTCCCCGGAAGGCAAAACTTCAGGCTGTGCCTTCACTTTTTCAGGTCACTCTCCAATCCCTTGGTGACCAGAAGACATGAGCGTGACTTTACGTCTCGGGGACTGCATCATCAGGGAAGTGACTGAGTTACCAGGGAGACCAGACTCTTCTCAGCAAACATTCCTATGAGACTCAGAGGGTGGGCTTTGGAGTCAGAAGGCTGTGTGTTTCAGTCCCAGCTTTTCCAATTACAGCTGGGCCTTATTGGGGGGCTGGGTTCTTGTGAAGATTTGCTGACAAACCCTGTGTAAATCTATTCGTAAAGAGAAAAAAAGGCATGAAATGATGAGAAAATGAAGGTGTGTGTTTATTGTTTTTTAAAGATTGAATGAACTCTTTTAAAAATCTCTATGGAAGAAAACCCTAATTCACAAATGACATCTCTCTCTCTCTCTCAGGTTACAATGAGTGGACAGGATACCTTATTTATACCCAGTCCTAAAACACCTGAAGTACTTTACTTGGTCTTCTATTAGCTTGTGTTAGTAGGCACAAGGCAGGGTCAAGATCACCAATACTTTTTGATGATTCCCAAGTACCACAAGT